GACCCGGGCAATATCCTTGACACACATTGAAAGGATATTCAGGCGGTATTAATAATATTTTGCTATATTGTCGCTGTTATTGAATTGCCAGCAGACAGACATTTATGTTGATTTATGTAATTGATAAACATGGCAATTCGCACAATAAAGATTCAATGTATGATATCTTTACAATGTAGGCGATGTTACCTCAAAGCTGTTCTATCTTGTAAATACATTGTAATTGTGCAGTAGAACGATATAAAAACATTTTAAACAAGGCCCGTTACCTTTGTCTGTTGCAAAACATTGTTCGAAAACAATGGATTTAGTATAACATGTTTCAAAGAACAAAGAAATGCAAAGTCAATTGCCGGTCTACAGTGCCGGATAACTATCAATCCGATTACGATATTTCATACACAATAAAAGAAAAATAACGTATTTGTTTAATGTCGCGTTGTTGTATTTTGCTACCAGTTCTTTGACATTGAAAAAATGAATTTTGTAAAACTAATTGAAGATACATTTTGACAAGACAGAACTTATTTACATGTCAGGTTTTAAGGTATGTTTTAATCTCTTGTGTGACTTGATCACGCCCTTATTTTGCCAATATTTTTGAAGCCATTTCGGTCATGGACAAGAAGAAGGAATCATCGTCCCAAACCATGCGGTCACTGAGCCCAAATTTAAAACCTTGACGTTTTTATACAAAAGTTTGCAAGTAAATGTGTTACATTGTTAAGATTTTAACCAAAAGGACCACAGCTATTAAAGAAATTATTGAATAGTTAAGTAACATTAAGCCATATATCAACTTCTTCAGCTCTGTTTTTCAAAGATTCAACTCAGTCTAGAAAACATAATATCTCATAATATCTCAACATAATTATTATTCGTATTTGCATCTGGTTTTCCATCAAATGACTGCTTAGCTAAATAGGGAGGGCAACCGATTTGTAATCCAGTGGAAGCTGGCATGATCAACGTGTTTTTGTCGGACGTTATAGTCAACTGGTCATTTGACTCTCGTCGCTAATTAAGAAATCATACGAGTTTACTAGTCGGTCACTGGCAATTAGCGGAGAGAAGCACGTAAAGGATAATCCTCAATGTCATACAATGTTTAATTTCAATTTCAATTTCACACATATAAAGGTAAATTTTGCCTACTTATGAACACCCTATCTTAGAAAAAAGCGGAAAAAGATCACCTACCATGAATCTACTGCCCCTCAACAATTGGGCTCGAATCATGTCAGGACATTTGAATAAGCTAGCTGGCCAGCCTACGCAAGGTCGTCGGTTCAACTTGAATTGCTGCTAGGGCATGAAGTAATTCACGATGATGCATTTGAGGTCTTCATCACGAAATTGAGCCTGAAAGTTGCCATTGACGATGAGACCTAAAATCTAACAAACAATCACGATCACATTCGCTTGGTATGAACCTGCATTTCTACAATGATCTTATAGGAATCAAATAAAAAATGTATATCACATTTGTATTTGCTGTTTTTCATTTGATATGTGGTCAATATCGTTTACGGACTCGTATGAAATAAACCGAAATATAAATGTAGAGGAAACAGTAATGGAAATAGAAATTTAAAGGAGAAAGAGGAAAGATAAAGTGCATTCCAAGGGAAGTAACTGCTGTAAACGAAGCAGTTATACAAGACAAGAATGATTCCCCTTAGTTTGTTGATATCCGTCTGTACGTCGTCAAAAAAGGGACATTTTTTCAAATAATTGTTTTATTTGTTGTCCTGCATCTTGATCCTATCTTCACTATAAATCACTGATGATATGACTTATTTCAATTTCGCCTCAAATATACATGTCTTTATAAAGAAAATAATAAAAAACCACAAAAAGCAAGTTACATCTCGTATTTCAACAGTTTTAATGATGCTAATTAGCTAAATATACTGTGTGTAGGTTTTTTAATCTAACACGTTATTTAGTAGTTGGTGCTCAAAATATGATAAGCAAGATCAACAAGGAAAGGCGGCGTTCAATGAACGCAACCCCCATATGTCCCAGCAACACAAAACCAGTGGCAAGGAGCCCAGGCGAACCCAAACAAAAACAGGACAGGGCAAATACTGAGCACGGACAGGTTAATCATTAAATGATAAATAATTTGTAACTGATTAGGAATTCAAAGGAAAGAATATATGCCCACAAAGGGGAAAGGGACAGGAGACCGGGGGAAGCGGGGCGGGTTAATCAAAGAAATAAAAACTATAGGCAATGGGGAAGATACTTACCGTGGACGAAAAAAAGACAAATGACACAAGCAAAAGTGTCACCAAAACAGTAAGAAACAACATAGACATACATCTGAGGAACACAGAGGGGCGCCGCCTTCGAACGGTCAGCAGCAAAATAGTTATTGGTGGGAAGTTTACACCGGTTAATGGTGCACCAAACCTCGCTCTTAGTTATTTAATGACACTAAAAATAATGGTATATGAGTGCGGGGAAACCTCGATTGCAACAAACCATACACGGGTATTTCTCTAGTTTATTCCCTGTCCCGACGGTATTTCTATTATAACGAGAAAGTCATATCGAAATGATGCAATTTCTGAGAAACCCAAGTAAAAGCAGTAAACCACACATGGACATGCTGACAATTTTGTTTACGAGCGCGTGTCTCACAGGTTAACACCAGCTACAGTCCAAGGGATGTAACTGCTATAAGTGAAGCGTTGATATACGTACAAGAATGATTCCTCTTAGTTTTCTGATACTACACCGTAAGTTATCGTACGAAAAACAACAACAACAAATCTGCCGCTCGTCACAATAAGTAAACCCCAACAAAAATGAGCCAATAAATGGGCATGCTCTGGAGTGCGGGTAACTAATACCTGTACTCCAGTTAACGCACTGTGCATATATATGTATACGATTTAACTCTGACACATTTTCAACAGAATGGTCCCAAACTATGATACTCATAATGATACAATTGTAGATAATGACTCCAGTTAACCCATGAATAGTAACATGGTAAAACCATTTACACTGTATGACCTAGTGATATAAACTTGTTTTTAAGTATTCGAGGAAACTGAGGTATGTGGCAAGCGAAACATAGAAAATACACCTGAATCATCATTCATTGAGGTTTCCCAATACTGTAAAAAGGTAGGTTTTATTAAGTGTATTTGATACGTTATTACTACATTATTGAGATATGTTTATCCTTGAAAAACAAGCTTATTGTTACTTTTTCCAAATATTTAGGATACGTTAGGCAAACGAACATCAATGGAAAATAGATAAATGCGTTGTATGTCTTAGTAGAAAGTATGTGATAACGCTGACTCAAATTAATAAGACTATTTTGGCGTGATTTTATCAACCAAAGTAAATTAGTACATAAGTAAATGATAACGGCGAAGTGTTATTTGTGATATTTTACACTAACATTTTTTAGGGTTCTTTAGGGAGTCCGCTTTTCTTGATTCAAACCACTTGCTGCTCAGGGTTCGAATCCCACCAAGAACTTCGGATTATTTAATGTGAGGAAGATATTCAGCAAGCTTACGGAACGTTGGTAGTTCTTTCTACTCCGGCGCCCATCCGTGTCTGATATAAAGGGACACCTTTGATAATCCTCAACCAGTTAAACTGGAAAGTCGTCATATGACCTCTCCCGTGTTAGCTGAACGTTTAACCAAGCTAAAAATTTCAACCAGAAACAGTCCCATCTAAAAATTCTGGAAACAAAGTGATCCTTCGGAAGCATCAATCACAACAAAATAACATAAAAATTGCAGACTCGGTTTGATTGAGTCTGTACATGAGGGATAATGAATAAGTGCAACATCCCTCACGCCCCCCTAGCACCGGCTTGAGCGGTACTCAATTCTCAACACTTTATAGTGTTGGCATCAATGATCCCGAACGACCAGAAAATATAACAACACAATATAAAAACAGTCTGTGTGTATCTACGCGTGGAAACAAGTGGCATACAAGTTTACAATTTGTTTCTCTCACTTTTAATCAAAGTTGTCCGCAAAAAAACAACAACAAAAAAAAAACAAAAAACAACAACAAAAAACAAGCCAGTTGCTGAAGCAAAACAATTTGGTTTGTTTTACATTCTTTTTACATATTTTTTCATCGTTGTCGGTATAAAACAGGGCATTTTAGAAAAAAAATTTAAGTGACCTTTACACCAAAGGCATTAAAACACTAAGATAACTTTGATTTATTAATACAAAACGAGAATTTTAGAAATAATCTAAAACGTTTCTTTATTACTAACATTGTATTGAACTTCATCTTTACTGATTCTGTTAAAGAAAGAAGACGTTGATCCTAAACTTTTGGTTGGGATTCTTCAAAACGTAAAAGTAGCACCTAATAATTATACATAGAGAATTTAATATGTGCGATTTATCATAAAGAACTTTGAAAACTTTGTTTAATGAAATACTCATTTTTTTGGAAAAGCAACATTTTTTACAATAGAATCATTATGTTAGTACATGTTTATTGCTGTTTTTCAGACACACACGGATTTATTTTAAATTGATTACGTTTTAAAGAAAGTAACACATGACAGACACTTCGCTCCAAAAAGTTACACTTTCGGCAAGATATACTTCCATATAGAATGTAAAATTATTGCCAGGGAGATGCTTTAACATGTTTTTTCCATAAATGATCACATTTCTGACAATATTATTGCCAATTCAAAATATAAACTTTCAATGACTATTTCCAACACTGAGTCCTTGCCGTCTTCTATAAATTGCCAAAAAAGATACACATTTGCCAAAATATTTTACAGAAATCATCCACTGAAATTCATGCGTCAATTATTTTTATTTTATTAATGTAATGAACTGTGTTTATTCTTTAACAGATGTCAAGATGTGAAAACTATCGGCAACATACAGAGAACACGTTTCGGATATCATCAGGAACAAGTATGAACCGCACTAAGGGCACTAAACTTAACAACTGATATTTTTTGGCAGGACAGTGGTGTCAAACATGACATACATTTTTATCGTGCTAAGGGCGCCGAAATATAATTATTCGAGCTTTACTACTGGTGTTCTTTGGCTGATGTCTTCATACACTTTTAATAATTTCAGTACTAAAAACCAGAGAAGACAGGAATCACTCTTTAACACTCAAAGCGACAAAAAATAATAAAGTATGTTAATGCATGATTTACGTCACTAGATTCGGCTTAAGCAATCTAACATTTAAAATAAAATTTTAAATTGAGAAACAGTTAATGGTAAGTAGATATATGTTTTAGATATGAATGCATCCTCCGTAACTCATTTTCCAGTATAAACACATGCTATACAGGTGTGCGTTTTTGAAGCCATTTAGTATATTACATAAAATAATTTGTAAAAGCACAACTACAGGTATCTTTGAATAGTTAAAAAAGAAAAGACGCTTAACATGTCCGTCAGGATTATCAAGCTTTTTCTTAAAAAATGTTTGCTTGTGTAATTTTGAGGAAATTTATCCGTACACAAGTTTGAACAAAGAAGACAGTGATTTAACTACAGACATTGGCTTTACTGTGTTACAGAAATCCTGTTCAAGAAACCACGTTAGTGTTTCCTTTCAGGTCATGGTTTTTAACATAAACTTTAAGCAGTACGCGAATGGATATGTAAATACAAATGGTGATAACACATTGAGCAATCAGCAAATCAACAAAATACATTTGTGTATAATTGTCCATCAGATGACCGTATAATAAAGGGAAAAGCATATTAAAAAGTGACACTCCCACGAGATATACAGCAGAAATTGTTCCTGTCACATTAAGAATACTTTCGCCTGTCCACGTGAAAATGGCGGGAAAAATCACAGACATGCTCATCCCAGCTAACGCCGCGCATGCCCAGACGAGTTCCTCGATATTGTACCTTGCTGCAAGAAACATGCCTACAAAGGATAAAGTAAGCGCACCCACGTATATACCTATCATTGTAGGTGTTTTAACGAAACGTGTTACAAGAATACCAAGAAATCTGCCAGCCGCAAATGTTCCCCAGAATAACGACGTCACGTGCAGACCTTCAGCCGTAGACCAATCCAAGTATTCAGTCAAAAATGTCGTTAAAAGTCCCGAAAATCTTGCTTCTGTACAAGCATATATGCTGATAAGTAGCATCAGAAGTGTGACAAATGTTATCTTTTTCTTCAAAGACAACTTTGGAAGGTCATCAATCGTATTTTCATTTTTAATGTCGGATGAAGCTAAAGGTGAATCGACGTATGTTGCATACTTCTGAGAAAGCAAGAAAAGGCAAAGAAAAGGGATTGTCGCAGTAAGCGATACAATACCTGCAATAAGATATGCATAATGGATATGTGTTTCACCATATACTTCTTCACATTCTTCACTTCCTGTTGTAACATTTACAACCGGAAGTTCTGTTGTTGTAAATGCCGTAACAGTAATGTTTTCAACTAATTCACTGGGACAAGATTTTGGCGCCAAAAATGGTTCTGCTGACAATGGACTGATGATTCCACCGAAGCTAAAGCCAAAGTGAATGGTTTGCATAAAAGGTGCTGAATTCCGTCCCCAAATAGATGCAACATGGGAATTTCCCCCTGCAAAAATCAATTATATTTTTGCGTGATCACGTGGCAATTGTTTTCGGTAACAATTTGTCACCATTTAAAATCGTGCACATCATTTAATGGTGTATTTTGCTATTCTTTCGTGTCATTATTTAATATAAGAAAAATCAATGTATACCATGTTTAGGCAATTATTCCGGTGTTACATAATTTACCATTCTGGCCCATTATGCTTGCCAAAAATGTTCAATGTTGGAAGATTTTTGATAAATATATACGATTATATTATGTCACAATTTCTGCAAGCCACAATAGTTTCATTAACAAAATCTGCACCATTGGAATCAGCAAATATTTGTTTGGCGCATGTTATATGTTAATAATTCAAATTTTGAAATAGTTTACTTAAACTTAGCAAATACATTTTAATCATGAATGTTTGCCAATAACGGTTATCAGATGTTAACTTTAACAAATAGCATGTGATCACCTATTGCTTTTAAACATTTGAATTAACATTTGCACACGAACCAATATTAGATTAAATTTCCTGTCTATGATAAATGAAAAGTTGTTTTCCTATGATATTAAGCAGGACGTGTTTCGTCCTTTCATGACAATTCAAAGAAAACCACAAATTACAAAGCCAATTTCTTACTGTACGTTATTCAAAAATGTTTTAATTAAGTTTTGAACAACAAATAGATAGAAAAGAAACCGATTTTACTATTAAACCGTTAGCAAAAGGGAATGCAAGACAATGACACAATACAAGTTAAACAAGATTTTCTTTTAGCAACATACGAGGAATGATCCAAAATAACGCAGAATATTGCTGTTGCTTAGACATAGGTGGATTAAATTTACGTTGAACTACATAACGTTGATATCAAAAGTCTGCAGGTTTTTAATCACCCCTCGTACCTTGGTCAAATCTACGCCCAAAATGTATTTAAAGTAACACATACCAACATCCATTCCACCATTAAATAAGCCAGAAAAGAAATTTATCGCTAGCATGGTAGGAAAGGTGCTGCACCATGGAAATGCTGCGATAGCCAAGGCGTTCAATATCGTAACGATTATAAGAAGCAGTAAACGGTTCATTCTAGAAGAGAAAAGAAAAATATAGTTACATACTGCTGACAGAATTTATCAATAACGTGTTCGACTTCAGGTAGTGAATTTTCAATTGTTCACAGGACTTATGAAGAATATTTGTAACTTTTCTAAGTACTTGTCAATGAACGGTACATTGCTAGTCCACAGTACCTGTAAATGAACCTTAAAGTGGATTGGTCTACAATGGGCACATTTTCAAAAATTTTAAATATCGAAAAGACACATAAAAAAAATATGATTTGAATATTCTCATTAAAAATTGTTCAAAAATAGTTGTAGACAAAGCTCTTAGTGATTTGGTATGAACATTCATAATAATCATGTATCGGACCATATATCTCACGCTTACCAACAAAATCCATGCAAATGTTTTTCGTTGAAACTATTTATCTTATTACAGACCTTTCTTTATAGAACAATTCACTTAAAGTAAAACAAACCAACCAATAAGTATATGAGTGTATTAAATAAGTTTTATTACAGTATATGTATAATTGTTCATGGTACTTATTAAGTGTATGCAGAACGTTTTTCAGTACATTTCAGTGGAAGATATATGGAATTGTACACTCCAAAGCACATACTTGCTAATGAAGATTATGAAGAATTTTTATAATTTTATACACTAATTGTTTACTATTTTACACACACGAAATTATATAAATATTTAAGTACTTATTTTCGTTTTTCCTTTTTTTTTTTTTTTTTTTTTTTTTTTTTTTTTTTTTGAAGAAAATGCTGGCAATGTAATAATTATGTATAGTAATATATTGTTATCAAAAGAGGAACATTTTTACTTACAGTGGTGGATTTTTTTCTTTTTATTTGTTTCGTAATAGATCTCAAACATTTGTAAGGTTCATATACCCGCAAAACAAATGGACCTCCAAATAAACCGTCAATTAAGTAAGTGAGTTTTAATATATACCTGTCAAACAAGAGTCCACCAATGAAAGCACCTAACAAATAACCGAGAGACCCAAGAGTGAATATCCAAGATGCAGTCTCCAAATCTTTCTGTATAATCAGACGAAGATCTGGAAAAGTTCCTCCAACCACCGATACGTTCCATCCCTGGTTGAAAATTATAATCGCCATCGATTAGTTAACACAAAACTATTTGAGAATAGTTTATATAATTCTATGCGTACTCAAAACAATTATAAAAGGGGCTCCAATGAGATACAACTTATCAAAGTGGCTCCAATGAGGTACAAATTATCAAAGAGGCTCCAATGGGGTACAAATTATAAACGGGGTTCCAATGAAGTACAAAAACCTAAAAACATAGAATTCGAAAATCTTAAAATGGTTCTACTCGAGTACTTAAAACTGAAAAGTATGCTAAAGATAGTTCATAAATATATTCAGAAATAAAATAGAAATTCATATTTCGTGACAGCTATTTGATTCAAAGATCCTGCATGTTGTAATTAAGGTTGTTACCACACTTAAGTGAAATTTTATATATGTATAATAATGCTTCTAAATCAATTGTCAAACATCGAACACTATGTACTGTTAATATTTGTCCACATTATATGTAATCAAAAAAATAAATATATGCATTTATTTCTTATTGACAAATTTGACTGAGACTTTATAGGAAATAAATTTTTAATTACCTCCTTTTAATAATATGAAATGTAAATTCGGTATTATATTTACAAATAATGCATTTGGGAACTCACTATATTGATTAACCTTCATTTGAGCATTATATTCATGATATACATGATATATAACCATAAAAATTGATTTACTGAATCTTTAAAATCATAAAAATTATTTTATTTTAGATCATTAATATATTAACACTATAGAAATGGTCAATATGGAGAAACGAAGAAGTGAGCAATTGATATGAAAGTTTGCAAACAAGTTACAAGGAAAGACTCATATCGATACATGTAGGTATAAACATCGCAAAGAAATTATTTATTTGTAGTCCAATCATGCGGAAAAAAACCTTCGTTGGAGTTACTTTAAACTACAAGTAAATCATTCATAAAGAAAAAATTAATACAGTTTGTTAGAAACATTCCGTGTAGTTAACACAACTTTAGTAATGTTGTAGAATTTTGTACGTTTTTCCTCTCACAGTACCACAAACACCGATATGCCATCTAAAAAGTATGAGCAACACCTTACTGAAATCATGTTGCTTACGAAACCCTATCGAACAAAATGTCTTAAGCTAATGTATCAAAATATGTCTCGTATTCATCTGTACTTCGGATATTAGTTTACTTTTAAAGACTTTCTCTTGCAACTTTAATCTAAAATATCGGTATGTTCCTATAAAAATGCTCTTGAAAGCATTTAATCGAGCGAAAGAAAATTTAGAAAAAAGTAATTGTTGAAAAATTTGTAGAAGAGATGTATCAAGAGATGTATAAAAGTTCACTAACCAGGACATGCTTTGCATATTATATATGGAAAATATTTACTAAATAAACAATTTGTATCACCATGCTGTATTCAAGTTCAAGAGTTTATTCAGCATAAACATACAATATGTTCATTGCCATACATATGATATAATGTGCATGTAATATGACAAGAAAACAAACAAACAAACAAACAAATAACAAAAATAAAATACATTTGGTAACAATGAGAATAACCCAAACAAACACACACACACCCACAAAAAAATATTTTTGAGAAAAGTGTAAAGAAATAGTAATTATTCAATATGTATTTAAACAGTCAGATTTATTGATTATACGTATCTCGTTTACATGTAGCTAGGTATAAATACTTTGCCAGTTTATTTATAATACTTTTTTGGCAAGATGTCATAATATTTCTAAATTTCTGGATACTAGGCCAAGAACAGTAATAATTAGGAAGGCAACGATATCTTATTTCTCTATAAAAGGGACACACTAATAGAAAATGATACTCATTTTCAACAACATTCATGTTACAACGTAAACAGATTCGTTCAGATCTCGGAATATTCCTGTGTCTACCTTCCTCTATCAGTAATTTGTGAGCAGAACATCTAAATCGACATAAAGTAGTACGATAATTTAAATTACTAACACACAACAAATATTTTCCGCAACATGTTCATTTTTAAATATGCAATAAGTTTCTAATTTAGGTAAACTGTTGATTTCACTTTGTCATTGTTGTAAGTATTGATCTTTTATTCGTGCTATACAAATATTTAGTTGATCATTTGTAATATTTTGATTATTCCATAAAAACGGAAAACCTAACTCATTCAACAAATCTCGTACATCACTGGACCACTTGTTTAATAAAACATCATTATTATTTCTCATACTATAAATTCTATAAATAAGTTTGTCGTTATTCTTAAGAATTCTGTACCAAAATTTCAATATCCTTATCTTTCTATATACAATTAATGGAAATCTTCCTAATTCTCCATACACTGTTGTATTTACAGTTTGTTGCCTTACACCTAACAACTGTTTCAAAAATTTCAAATGTACTCTTTCAATGTCAGGGGCTTTATGTAGCCCCCATATTTCTGATCCATAATTTAATATAGGTAATATCATGGTATCAAATAATTTTAATTTATCTGGTATCTCAAAATTAACTTTATCAAATAATGCATTTAAAGAAAACAAAGCTTTTAAAGCTTGATTAGCAAGCGATTTTTGTGCTTGATAAAAACGACCATTAGAAGAAAGCGTCACACCTAAGTATGTAAAAGTTCTCACAACTTCTAGTTTTTCACTATCATAGAATATATCATAATCTTGAGTTCTGTTTCCAGATTTACAAACCATGACTACAGTTTTATCAGTATTAACAGTAATATTCCATGCTTTACAATACATGTTCATGTTATTTAACAAATTTTGTAGACCTTCAACAGTATATGAAAATAAAACAGTGTCGTCAGCAAATAATAACATAAACATCTGTATTTCATCTAGACTGAAAATATCATCAGATTGAGTCAACATACAATTATACATATCATTTATGAAAAATTATTACTAACAGATAAGAAGCTATATAATCCTCAAGTGTATAATGCAAGTTTAATCGCTGTGTTTGTTCGTACTCATTTTTTCTTCGGATCATCCTCTCATTCCGAGTTTACAGAAAACTAATAATCTTTTTATTGTGCAAGAAACGCGTTTCAAATGCTTATAATATCTTACATTATATCTTACATTGGGCCAATAATCACATATTAAATTATCGATTATCTGGGTATATTTCTCTAATATCGTTTTCGAATTTTTCGTTAAAAGTGAAAAAGTTGATCTATATAATTATGATTTCCAAATTTTATAATTTTAAGCTCTAGGACCGCAGTGGAGCTCAGGAAATGCAAGGATGCTTGACCTCCTTAAAGAAATACTAACTCTAAGTCTATCTTAAAATTAAAGAAACTTTGGATTCTGGCATTTCTGCAACAGAATACATGTAACATATCTCTCTTGACTTAAGTTTTGCTTATCTAACTAATCTAAAGACTCCACGGGCCGAACTATGATTGGTTGTTTATTACCATAAACATGATGCTAACATAACATTGTACCGTTTGAACGTTGTTGATATTTTTGTTGGTTTAAACATAATTTTGTAAGCTCGATTGCGAAACAATGTCCTTCTATCTATATTAATCACTGTCGAGCCGCTTCTTTGAACCATCCACTACTTGTGTCATATGTAACATGGTCGTGATCCGATTAGGGCTCAAATCCATGCTCTCTGGGTTTAGAGGCAGACACCTTAACCACTAGACCACCGCTCGCCTTTAATTTTCATTGTAATGGCTAATATAATAATATATAATTGAGTTTTCTTAAGTGTTCAAAATTGATGATAACAAGTAAACTGTAAAAATAATTACCAATGTGATGAACATCCAGACAACAAAACATGTATGTAAGAAACGAATTCTGTATTCTCCATTGTATCTCAATTTACCAAGAAACGTAGTACTCTCTGTTTCACTATCATCTTTAATTACCGGATTTTCATTTGTCCCACGGTCTGGATTGTCAAAGTTATTCATTATAAACTTTATCCCAACGACACTTTTACTAGTATCTTTTTCACTGTAATCCATCTCCCGGATATATGTTTAGACTAAACCTTTGAGCATTTAAGGTGGGCAAATAATCACCCCTTTAAAATGAACCGTTATGAAGATAGTTCCATTATCTGATCTATTACGATAAAGAGTTTCGTGCATATGACTTTTGGTTTTGGATAACATGTTTGTGTTGATTCGTACCTAAGGAATGTTTGTAGAATATATTTAAAGCTGCCAGCCTTCAGCTGAGCAAAAATGTTTAAAGAAAATCAAACTAGTGAAAAATGACCTAAGCTTTTAAGAAAGTAAAAATATTCGAGATTCAAGTAATCATTTACATGTTAAGTGCATGACAGGACTGCTTTTGCTGTATTTATGGCAATATTTCTACAACATTACTAACTAACGCTGTAAGGGCTATTATTGTATATTGTGACCTCTATTTTTTGGTAATTTGCGTGGACTGTAAGTGCTGCTTGCCATGTGTAATACTTTCTTTGTTCAATTCACAACATTTTACTTCTAATTACATTTTCAAAATTTTTATGAAAATTAGCATGACTCTAGAGGAATTCTGCACATCTTGCAGAAGTGGGTTATCATTTCAAGTCGTGTAATTTGTTGAAAAAGATAAAACCATATCTTTTCTGGCATAAAAAGTTTACTGTCAATTAAACAGTAGTTAATATTAATTCAAACAACCATTGCAAGAAATGCTAACTGAATAAAGGGAAAATTGCTTACTTAATAAAGAGATTAGCAACACAAAAATAATACCGAACAAGTCGTAACTTCATTAAATTCATTACACTTAAATTCCCTGGGCTTAAACAAATAATATATACTCTACTTTAACACAGACAAATCTTTTACAATGTTTTTATCTTAAGATGTATAAGAATTTTCGTCATCATTAAAACGCGCCTAGAAAAATACGCCATCTATTTACTGGAAGTTCATATTTTAGTGTTTTAAGTAACAGTACCATGTCTTTTGTGTACTTTTTTTCTATCATTGAATTATAAAGAGTTTCTTATAGACAATTATCCTTTTAACCAAGTTCTCTATATCCATACATTTTTATAATGGGCGGAATTCGGAAAAAAATGTTTCTTATAGCTGAAAATATAACCTGGTTCGGCCTAAGTGAACTTAAATGAATATCGATATCACGATATACCACCGTAATACGTAAACTATCTCTTTCGATACCACGATATACCACTGCAATACATAAACTATCTATATCGATATCACGTATAAACTATCTTTATCGATTCCACGATATACCACTGTAATACGTAAACTATCTATAGCGAAACCACGATATACCACTGTAATACGTAAACTATCTATAGCGAAACCACGATATACCACTGTAATACGTAAACTATCTATAGCGAAACCACGATATACCACTGTAATACGTAAACTATCTATATCGAAACCACGACATAAACTATTTATATCGATATCACGATATACCGCTGTAAAACGTAAACTATATTGATATCACGTATAAACTATCCATATCGATAACACGATATACCACTTTAATACGAAAACAATCTATATCGATATCACGATATACCACGACTGTAATACGAAAACTATATTAATACTACTATATACCACTGTAATTCGTAAACTATCTAAATACCATTATTACACGTACACTTTCAATACAACAATATACTGTTGCATATAATCTAGAATCATACCTTTTGGAAAAAAATGTATTTTTCCAATACAATATCATTTAACAATACAGTTTTATAACATTATGAATTTACAGACATAAGTGTATATATCTACACTCCGTAGTTACGCAACTATTCGCTTCATCATCATTTAGATAAATATGTTCCCACTGAGAAAAAATAAACAAATCTAAAGTTTAATCATAGAACGCAAGTATTTATAATTATAAAAAAACCCGCATGTCTTTAAATCTAGCGTTGATATGTGAATATGAAATGTATCACAAGATATACTATGCCAAGTTAATAGTATGAAACTTAATAAGCCAACACTGTACATGTATATAGCCGAAGTATTTTGACAGATAAAGCATAATATATTAATTCATAATCTTAGTGAAAACCAGAATAACTGCTACACATGATTTGTAGAACATTTATTAATAATATTGACATAGAAGACTCAACAATAACTTCAGCGGTGTTAAACACAGCAAGCAAATACTAATGCATGCATGACAAAAAATGTAGAATATGTTTTATAATAACAATAAGTTTCAATGGTTATTGATACCAAAACATTCCATCATTGAATTATAATATTACATATATACTGTTAACACGCATATTTTACACACGTATATTGGGATACCGTATTCTTTTTATGCCAAAATTCATAAAGAAAGTGTAATACTGATCTGGATATGGTTAAGTAACGACAAAGTAAGGACAGTGTGAGGAACAATACACTATTGTGAATATCTTACAACTTTAGTCAGTTAACATTATTGTACAGAAAACGCATGTATACATACATACGTGGTTAGGTCAGTGTGGCAGTCAGTAAACTTTGATGAAATCTGTGACTCAGCCACACCATTGTTCGAAGCATCAGTTCTAAACGAATCGTTTTATATTGTTTTATAACGATTTCTAAAGATGATGTTCAAGCTGTTCCGCGTTCCATCCATTTGAATTGTATCGTTTTATTAAGATATGGTTCCTACAAAATAGCATTTGTTTCAAGTGAGACATAACTTTTGTTAAGCTTTATCTGTCTGTATCTTTTCCCGTAAGCTCTAGCTTGTGATCTAGTTGTGAAAAGCATATATATTTTTGAAGAGTCACAGAAATTGTGGTTTTATAACCATCAGAGGTTCGATATGGTGCGTTTAATAAATGTTCTTTTTTGTTGTTGTTGTTGTTGTTGAAATATAATAAAATGTAATGAAGCGGGTACTGGTGAATATGTACTTAAAACGGAAGCTTATTTTGATCTAGCCAAATCATGTGTGACAATCAGAAGTGCAACATTTTCTATGACCCATTTACAAATAAAACAAAACCACAGTGATTAAGAGTGGGGAGGGCCCAACACACAAACATTTAAATATTACAAATGTTTGTTTTATTTAACGTGTATGACAACGGTATAAAAGGATTAACATTATTCACACTCCTAGCATCGGTAAGAAGAGAATTTGATATTCAAAAATTAAAACAGGATACGATATAATCATATATATTATTATAGACCTATCACTTTTTCGAACAGACAGACAGGGGATAAATATATATTATATAGGGTTGTTACAAACAGAGCGCTCGTTCCCTTTTTTCTCACCCCTTATTCTTTCCGTTTTAAGGTTTAATACCTGCTGGCTACCATGGAGGTGTGGCAATGTTATATAAGAGTGTTTCTTTGATGAACGACACCCTTTGTTGATCTTTCTCCTCATTTTTCTTCATATTTTATGACATGTTAGGTCATAAAATCCAAATATTTTTAATTTTCAAAACCTACGTATTGTTTGTGTCCAGTTACAGTTTTCAAAATAAACTCACTGATCATATAGCTGAACCATGCTCTGTTAAAGTAATTTTGGTACTTTGTGTAGCAGTCAAAATACAATTTTGTTTACATTGTGATATATTTATAACAAATCATTTCACATTCTGCTCTATTTTCCTCCTGTTATTAGCGTTTTATATGTACGAAGCTCTAAGTGCTTTTCTACAGAAAAAATAAACTTTGTTCCAATGCTTAGGCTAAATTTGCTAAAAGAATATTAGTAATATTTAACAAACCACCCATATATATCTGAACGGTTAGGGCCTCATTCAAGCCGTCGCATAAAATGCCTTTGAACGGAAAATAATATACAGCTTTTTAACAATAGAAGTATATTCTTATCCTTTTAAAAATCCACACAAGATAGAGTTTGCCTTATAAATACTGACAGCCAAGCGTTGGTTATTCATCGTCTGTTAAAGCTACTTTTTTGTGGACAGAACCTCCAAGACAGCAATATGAACGGGAAACTTATGTTGGTGCTACTTTTGGTTGGAATGCTTATGCTAGCTTCTATTGAAGTTGCCGGTAAGTCACATTTACTGATATATTCTTCACGATCTTCATAACTTGTAAGAGATGAACTATTCATAGTATTTAGAACATTAGATTTGTTTCCATTTTCACATCTGGTTTTGTATATATGTGTTTAGATGCATTATAGATAAATTCTAACAGTATACTTGTTGTATAATACATGTATCTCGATAATATTTATAAAAGGTGATTATCTTGCATTTGAAAGGTGTAATGTTAGCTAGTATTTTAATGGATTGGTAAAAAATTCAAGTAACTTACCGTTTAAAAGCAATTCAGTGCAATTTAGACAAAATCTGCTTTATCATTATCTTTAAACACGATTTATAAAAAAGCGGCGGGTTGTTTTATTTTACCACAAAAATATCACAACCACACATAATTATAAACCGTGTTTAAATCATTTACAAACTCATTCATAAAGCCTATTACTTATCTATACCCAAAAAAAACAACACCTTATTTTCTTTCAGATGCATCATATAGCTGTTACAATGAGGGAGCCGGTTGTCCAGGTGGTGCAGGTTCAGTCTCTGGTTCAAACTGTGACAATGCTTGCTCCAGAGACTTTATGTGCTGTCAAGATTAACAAAATGATGGTATGAACTTTGTTGTTGATTCTTTTGCATTAATACAAATGCAATAATATCTGGTAATAGTTACATTTTATTCAGGAACTTGTATATAACTGTACGTAGATATCGAGAAACTGTAAAGACGTACATTTAGTATACTAAATAAAGGGCTTGTTTATATTGATAATAAGCTGAAATGAAATTGTTTGGAAACGTTGTTCCACTTATTGCTTGAAAACAAAGATCAACAAAGAAGGGTGGCATTCAATGCACGTATTCCCCAACACAGAATCACCGTCCCAGCAAGATACCAAATATGGCAGGGCACACGGGCAGTTATTATCGAAACAAGAAATTTCGAAGTAGAAATATATATTTAAAACACATTTGGATAATAAAATTAATAGCCTGTGTCACCGGATGTAGAAACACGGTACAATCTTTTGATCATAATTAAGGTTTTCGTATGTCAGCTATACTAATTTGTTTGTACACTGATTGTGGCCTGTATCCCGTTTAGCTACGTTTAAATTAATACATTGTATCATTGTTTTACATCGAGCTTTTTTTATTTTGTTTCAGTTCTGACATCGAAAGCTTTTGGGATGAAACATTTATTAGTACTCAACATAAAGCTCAATGTTATATGTATATGACACAACCAATAGATATTATGGAATTAAATTATAAAGTTAAAATTGTTCTTATTTTGTTATACTGGACTTCGACCCGACATCTATTGATAACACAGAAAATACGCCCGAACTATGAAGTATGCTAAGTAACACAACGTCTACTTAGCAGAAGTCGGTATTCCTACTTTTAATAAGACAAAAGAAAATCAAATAATCAAATAAAAAAGAAATATGAACACAATGAAAAAAATACTTGAATAACAAATAATTCCGCACTCCGTGCAGCTCTCTTCAGGTGATAAGCTTCTAACAAGTTGAAAAAATATTTTTTTAGTTCCTACTAAACTCATTTTATCTTTTTCATCAAAGAAGTTTATTCGTCCCGAGGCATAATGTGCCTTTACAGAAAAATGATTTTATGTAAGCTTCACAGTGACAGCTTGAGCACACAATAACAATTCATATTATTTTCAAGTACATTTCTTTTTATTGTATAATAGTTTGGGGACCTTTCCGTTGAAAAAGTGCCATAGTTAAATCGTATACAAATATAACATGACCAGTGCGTTAACTGTAGTGCAGATATAAGTTACGTAAACTGTCTGTAACGATAACACGATATACCACTGTAATACCCAAACTACCTATATCGATACAACAATATGCCACTGCAATATGCGATACCACGGTATACCACTGTAAAACAGAAACTATCTATATTGATATCACGATATACAACTGTAATACGCAAATTCTCAGTATTGATACTACGATATACAGCTTTAATATATAAACTATTTATAGCGGTATTACGATATACTACTGTAATACCTATAATATATATGTATTATACCATTGTTACATATACACTTCCAATACAGCATTATAATGTCGCACATATTCTTTATACCTTTTGAAGAAAAAAATCCAAATAGGTTTTCTTTTAGCAATAAATTTGTCAAAATCATTTACACAAATAATTTGATTTCCCTTCTCTATGGTTAAGCAAATATTTGCTTCATCATCATTTAGATAAATGTGTTTCCAAGGAAAATAAATATACAAATATTAAGTTTAATAAACATTTAAAGAATGTAAGTATTTATAATTAAGAAAAACTAGCATACATTTACATATCGCGTTTATACAATATATGAAACGTGTTGCAAGGTATGCTATGCCAAGTTAAAAGTATGAAACTTAATTAGCCAACACTGTATATACCCGAAGAATTTTGACTGATAAAACTTGATATATTAATTCGTTATATTAGTGAAACAACACAGAAAACTGCACATGAATTGTAAAACATTCATGAATAAAATTGACCGAAAAAGAGTCAATATTACGCACAGAAGTGTTAAGTAATTATATACAGGACAAAGAAAGGTTAAACTACAATAAGTTCCAATGGCTATTGATACAAAACATTATTTAAAAGATAATAATATAGCACGTATACATATTTTGCACACGTCTGTCGGGATACCTTTTTCTTGTTATGCCCATATTTTATAAATTATTAATACTGTTCTGGATAAGTTTAAAGTAGGGACAAAGTAAAGTCAGTGTAAGGTACAATACACTAACATTAGTCAATTAGCAGTTTTATACAGAAAACTATTTCATACATAACATGAAAGTCAGTGTATCATTAAATAAACTTTAATGAAATCAGTGACTCAGCAACACTTTTGTCCGAAGCCGCAATTTTTAATTAATGGCTATATATTGTTTATAATGCTTTCTATTGATGAATTTCCAGATGTTTCAACGTTCCATCCATTTGAATTGTATCGCTTTAAAAAATATGGTGACTATAAAATAGCCTTTGTTTCAATTGGGAATTGGACCCTTTGTTTTAATATATTTGTTTGTATCTTTCTCCATAAACACATGCCTGTGATCAGTGATGAAAGGCATATAGATTTTGAAGAGTCACGGAAATATAGTGTTTTTTATATAAACATCAGAGGCCAAATTGCTCGTTTTTTATAAAAGTATTTAAAAAAAAACCTAAAAAGCATGTACAGTAATACAATGAAGCGAGTACCGGTGAAGATGTAAACTAAAGCTTACTAGAGTATTGTAACAAATCATTTTGATTAAGTCAGATCCTGTGAGAAATGTGAAGCGCAACATTTCCTATGATCCAAAAAACAAAAAAACAAAACAACAAAAAAAAAAAGAACACAAAAAAGTGATCAAAAAGAGTTTTGACTTGTCACAGCCTAAATTTGGCGCCTCAGGTCGGTCTGAAAGTAATGTGTAACCAACGCTGAAAAGTCATTGACCCTATCTCAGTTCATTTAGAAGTTGCAACACTTTGAAATCAGTTTTGACTCCCACGTTGCCATTGTAACAGGAAATTTAAGATTGAGCATGCCGTTACAAAGGCTATGGCCAAGACAACATTTGTAACATGATTGGTAGGTATTGACGCATTTTTTAAAGTTTCATAGCAATTTGAACTTGTAACACGGGGCTTTTCAATGATCACAGCAATTTGTTACAGTTTTCAAAAAAACATATTGTCCACGTTCTACAGCTTAAAAGAAAAATCCATTTCTTACGCTTAATCTGCCTTATAATATGTAAATGTATGTGATAACAATATTCATATATATAAGAAGCAACATTTGTATATATGAACGGTTAGGGTCTCATTCCAGCCGTCACATATTCCTAATAACAAAGAAAAATAATGTTCCGCTCTGTAACAATAGATGTATATTCTTATCAGCAAAATAACGTTAGACTATATGAATAAATCTCAGCTAAACGTTGGTTATTCATCGTCTGTTATAGCTGCCTTTCTTTGTGGACAGAAACTCCAAGACAGCAATATGAGCAGGAAACTTATGTTGGTGCTACTTTTAGTTGGAATGCTTATGCTAGCTTCTATTGAAGTTGCCGGTAAGTCACATTTACTGATTTCTACTTCACATATTTTATAACTTAACCTAACTAAGACATTAACCATATTTAGAAAATTAAATAAGTTTCAATCATGCTTCGAGTTTTATATCTAACATTTTTATAATCATTATGATGAAATACTTTTGGTATTTTAACAAAAATTTGTAATTTCTTTTGACTGCAAATATATGACACCATCGCATACAAACCATTTAAATTTTAAACATCATTTGCAAAGATAGACATAAATAGCCTATTGCTTATAAATACCATACAACTATATTTTTTCTTCCAGGTGTGTCATATTTCTGTTACAGTGAGGGATCCGGATGTCCAAACGGGGCAGGTTCAGTCGACGCTTCAAATTGTAACAATTGGTGCTCAAGTGATCAAATCTGCTGTAGAATTATGATAAAATAATGGTATGATTTAAAAAAAATAATAACAATCACTGGTAGCCGTTGGTTTTATTCAGGAACTTATTTAATTGTACCTTGATACCGAGAAGCTCTAAGAAAGAAATGTGATAATTTAGATATATAGTATGTTTAATTCATAATACTAGTATTCTTAGACGAAAGTGAAAACGTTGTTGCAATTATTAGTATAACACTATTTTGAAACAAGAAGTTATGATAGGACTTGATAGTTTAAACAGTAATAAATATTCAGGTTATGTTGTATAGTATGTGATAGTCTTGCTATTAGTTATTTTTTTGCTAGATAAATAAACAAAATGGGTTAATGTTTAACAATGGGACGTATGATAGCACGATTGTCTTGGACGTAAATAATTTCATTGTGCATCTGTATATTGTATAGAAACGTCTGTTATAATTTTATTTATCATTATCTTAATCATTATACATCAGTATTTTATATTTCATTTCAGTCATGACATTGGAAACTTGTGGGATGATACATTTATTGATATTCAACGTATATATCAATGTTATATGTATATGACGTATCAAATGACAATTATGAAAATAAATTATGAAAATTAAATTGCTAAGAGTTGTTATTTTGTTATACTGGATTCCGACCATCTACCGGACAAAACACAGCAAAGACGACAGAAATATGCTGAATAAAATTTGTTTAGCAGCATTTAGCATTTGATACTTTGTTGGTGTCATTCTTTATATAAGATATGATTGATAAGATTATCAAGATTTGATAAGACATGAATAATCATACAAAACGGAAAAAACTTGAACATAATTTATAAAGATGGCCATACCCAATTGATTTGCTATATATATTCATAGAATGATATCTTATAATTGATAATTATCAAATACGAGTAAAGATGATTTTACTTTTAAAAACATTTGCGATATTTCAAAATTCTAATTTTCACAATTTCGCTGTTTAAATTTTGAATTCTGCATAACAAACCGGTGCTAGGGGCTTGGGACTTTGGACGATAACTTGCACCTTCCTGTTCCGTCCGTGAACTGTCTAAATGAATCCGAGCCTTCAACATTTGCGCGAAAGATAACAATTGATATTTCTTTCAATTAGATTCCTCTACTCTCTTTTATACAATGCATGTACTTGGTCGTCCATCTCTTGCAGATAAAAGGCATTCCAAATTTCCGATTTCATTTACTTTTTTTTTTTCATTATAGTAAAACTGTGAAATTATGTTTTATTAAACTTAAATAATTATGCCTTTTAAGTCTGTTAAAGACTAGGAGCTGGCTGATTAGCATTGTGTATAATTCGTTTTACTGGATGTTTTTCTAATTTGAACTATATTTACACAATTTGATAGACACGGTATAAGGGCGTTTACGACAACTTTTCGGCGCAACTTCAAAATATCTTTCTTCTGACCGAGCTATCGTAATATTCTGCCATTGATGTCAAGCGTCCATCGACTGTATCCTTTAATTGGAAGCTCATTAATCTTGACTACATGCAAAAAGCTTCACTAATCAAGTCAAGATAGTTAAAATAGTTCGGGCATACTTTGAAAAATATTGCTTTGATTACGAAATACGAGACGCCTTCTTGTCCGTTCAGTCAATAAAACTGGTCAAATTTAAAATATAATTATGCACATTATTGTCGTTTGAACAAGTAACACGACATTTTCAACATGCTTTTGTAAATTTTACATGATGTTCAAGTTTCATTAATCATCGCATTTTTCAATTCATTTTGTGTTGTTTTTTTCCGGTAACGTCGGTCAAAGAAAGATCTTTCCATGTGTGGTTTATGCGTTTGAAAAAATATTTTAAAAATAGGCTTACTAATATATTGACACCATTGCACATATCTTACTTGTATTTTGACATAGACTCGGCTTTCGAAAGACTTCCATAAAATTACATTTTATTTATGAAACAGCAAGCGAACAGTCTTTCATCAAACAAGATTCATTTGTAGGTTGATCTATAATCCAACAGTTACCATTAAAACGATGTCAGTAATTATCAGTGTAACGAAATAAAAATGCGCTATTTTAATTTAATATTCGTGTCAGTGGGTCTTCTGCACCATATATTCTCTTAAATTTACAATAGAAACTCATCATTTTGTGTGGTGAAACTTCAATTTATGCTGAACATATATTATTGTGACAAGTACGAGTTATGTTGAGGTCGACACGACCTTTTGTAAACGCTGTTTCTTCGATATATGTAATAATTGCGAATCCTGTTGTGCTATATCAATGATGAATTGCTTCAAAAATTCGATGAAATACTTAAAAAGTTGGAATAATTTTGCTATTTCTAGCAGTAAGATATTTTATTAGTTATTACCTGCAATGCAATTAGCCTGCAATTACCTTTTTGTCTTAAACTCGGTCAGAAATATGATATTTTGACGTTGCTCGGAAAGGTTGTGGTAAACTTCCTATCACCGTGATAGATATTTTCCTTTCCTAATCTATATAATATCAATGCTTCATCGAAATATTCAAGTATTATGTGCCTTGCAAAGGTGCTGTAAGCCTGTCACGTATCATTCTCAATACTACCAACATATGTTTGAATGGTTTTGCATGTGGTATGTGGTAAACCTTCTATAATTGACAAATTCTTTAAATTGTTGTTATATGATATGAATCATTGTTGAAGGTAAGTATATCAACAGTCAAGATCTTAAAACAATCTTGATATACGACTTCTTATCTTTATAACTGCATTTTTGCTTTAACCCCGAGCGAACATCTTTTTTACTATTTAATGAACTTATTGATAAGTGGAGCCAACAATTTTTCGCATAATTATTATTAGACAGCTTCCTTACATCTATAGTGGTATTGAACCCACTTTGCTCATAGGCAAGTAATGTGATGTCAACGGCCTAAACTACACGGTGGAAGAGTTTGGAGGCTCGATATGGACATTTATATGGGTCAATGTAAATCATTCATATTGATAAAATCTATGTGTTTATTCTATAAGATTTAAATAAATAAAAACAAAAACAAGTCATTTAACTCATTATCTCACTTCTTAAAGATTTATTTTCTACTTAGATATTTACATATACAAATAAATACATGTTAATATATTAACTGTTGAAGATCCATTTTTTTTCTTCTAAATGATGCAACATTGTCTTACCTGAAATATACATGATATCACAAATGATTTATACAATAGAATTGTAATTTTTAATGATGAGAATATGGATAAATTTTCGAAAATAATATTTGTGTGTATGAAATTGAGTAAAATTATTCATATTTTAACAAATAAATGTGCAAGAAAAATGATCCTCTCTTATTTTTTATGTATTGCTTTTCCGAAAGATCCCATTACTAACTAACCCATCTGCGGAATCAACATTTTATCAGTTTTTGCTTAATGTTGAATTCTGCTTACGTCGGTGCTAGAGGGCGTGGACTGTAGCATGCAATTACCACTACCGTCCATGAACATCCTCAATCAAATCGAGTAGACAACATTTTCAACACCGCCGTGTTGGACTTTCTTTAGGGATTCTGTTTTTCTCTATTTAAATACACAAATGTGACCTTACAGATCTACTTGAGGAAGACCTTAGTTGCACAATGCCAGGCAAGGACACCTTTGCAGTTTTATATGACCATTAAATTTATATTGTATCCGAGAATTATAACAAAAATGCATCATAAATTACTTTTTCATATATACGATGCATTAATATAATAACGAAGGACACGTTCACATTTGATCAATGATCTTACACAAAAGGCAGTTGTACAAAAGTCTGGAAAAAGTGCCACGTACAGAAATTGATAACCGGGATTTTTTGTTCAAAACATATCGCTAACAAGCTTATTTTTTCCTTTTTTTGTATAAATGATTGAAGGATGTTTATGTATGAAAGGTTCAAAGTAAGAACATACTGTTATGGATCTTCGCAACAAATAAAATCACCAGTACAACTATCATCACAGAATGATCCTGCTACTTTTTCACCTGCCGGACATCCAGAGTGTACGTCATAGCAAGCGTACGCCTCTGTAATACAAAAAGAAAGCATTTTATTCGCATTTAAATCAACCAATGCACATTGCGTTTGTTGAACTCATGCTCTTTTCAATGTATTGTTTTATATGTAAAGTAAAGTCTCCCTGGATCTTTAGCCAAATAGAATACTTTTGAATATAGTTTGATACAAGCGTTTAGTTTTTTTTATTGAGAGGACAGTATTTCAATATTTTGCTATGATTTTACAATTTTACAATTATTTTAACATGCGTCATTACACTATTGTTATCTAATCAGACAAACGCACTGGCATATGTTTGTAGATGGTATCTATATTTAGTCAACAGTTTGCATGGTATAGACATGTCTGGTACAACACATGATGCAACAAAATGTATGAAACCGATTCTGTCGGTACATGAAGATATATTATAAAAGATATAAATGAATCAAGCAAAATGGTTGTGTGAGACTTAATACTGAATAGGAGTTCAATTACGTTTAGTTAAATAACAATAGCATGCATGTACTATCTTCAAAGGAATGGAATTGCATATAGATATTTGTGTGTAGTATTGTCCGACTTTATGAATAATATCATTTTCCCTAGATTTTCTAAATAAAAAAATAATAAAAAAGAACCGAATAATTCTACAATGTAGTGTTGTTACCATAATATGTTCACACGCGTAAGCAAAAGCCGAAAACAAAACAAATACATATACACATGTAACCCTTGTGGTAATATAATTTCTTTTAATGAAATTTACAAGCTCAATCTTGCCTCTGACTTTGATTCAAACTCTGATAACACTTCTAATACTCCCGATCCTAATCATACGTGGTTTAAACAGCTAATCAATCCTGACAGTTTACAGCAATTCTAGGATCAATATAGCCTAAAATGGAAATATTGTAAATTAGAAATTATATTAAATAAGTGATTTACCTGCAAGATGTACCGACATCAAAGAAAGCATTCCAATCACAAGAAAAACAAACACTAATTTGCCAACCATATTTAATTTATATTCTGCCAAAGTGCTGTTATGTGTAGTCAGAAAACCTCGACGATGTTACTTGATGCTTGTTCAAAATAACAGATATCTCCATGTATTAAAGATGATAATCAAGTACACAGCTGGTAATCTATGACAATGTGATGAATTTATAAATGTGTTCGTTACTGCTGTCTGTGAGGGAGACGAATAACTGTATAGTTTCCCTTGATTTCTCTTATTAACACAATTCCGGGTCATATGGCGAGATGTGTTCATTAAATGCCACCCCTTGTTGATCTTGTTTTTCATATTTTTTTGTGTCGTTGAATTCTGCTTTAACCTGTTCCATCAGAGAAGAATGTTACCTACTTGTATCACTGTCTAGCAAAACTGAGCTGCAATTTTATCATTTTAAAATGTCGGACGATCTTTATGCCCCCCCTCTTTTAAAAGCGTATATGATTCTGGACTTTCATGACTATTGATTTCAATATTTTTATAGTTTTGGAGATAGAATATTGCGTATATCTTTGCCATGGAGCGTGGGAGATTTTACACTTTCTATTATCTCTCAATCTCCATCGCCCATTCAATCAAATGAGTCTGCAATTTTCGCTTTTTAACCTTGTTTTCACAACATTTGAGTGATCTCTCCTATTCCTGATCAACTTTCCTTTTTCACATTTATTTTAGTTACTACCAGGCATATTTTCAGTTATGATACAATTCGGAATTCACATCGTTTTAATTATTTCTATTTCGTCATTAGTGAAAAGTGTGTTGCGGCATTATATATGTTGAAACATTGTTCAAACTTTACATTCTATGATTTGTAAAATAGATATCATTTATATATATTCATATGAAATAAGGAGAAAACACGAACGTTTCATCCTTAACACAGTAGCAGCTTGGATGCTCATCATTCTATCTACTTTGTGTCTAGCTATTATTGTATTTAAATGTATTGTTCTCTCTTTTGTTCTTACACAGGGGAATGTTAAGTTAACATACATTTGTTGCGATGCTCTCCCTTTCCCTGAAACAAATTAAAATTACTACCATGTTTTGAAATGTTTGTCAAACTAGCATGTTGCCTTCACTTTTTATATCTGTATAAAACGGTACAACAAAATTTGTTTAATGATTATCAATTCGGCTAAACTGCCATGAGATTATACATATATTAATATATGTAATAACCAGTGCATGATGGTAACAAAAATCAAACCCATAAGTACATAACATTATATAACCATTTTATAACATGTAAAAGTATCATCCATACAAATGCACTTAATGCAAATGGTATAGAACAAGCAGAAAATGTGTGTTTTATCTTATAATAAAATGTTTCCATTATTTTATTCTGATGAATCATATAGATGTTTTTTGATGGTCTTCTTTTGTAGTTGTTGTTGTTGATTTAAAACCGACGAATTGACCATTTCAACTGATATAAATTGGTGGGATGCAGTAACGCACATCTGTACATTAATTTTGTTATCATGCGCCTGTCACAATAACATATCATAACTTAGTGTGTTACCTATCAACAAATGAATACCTTACGTTTCGTTCATATATATTTTCACGTTTTAAAAATAAGGGCAATACATGGCTGCTATTTAAATAAGTTAAATTGCTCATGTATTTCTATGAGTCCTAACAGCATCCACTCGAGCGAAACAACACATTAGAAAAGCATAATGTTTGTTTGTTTGTTTTGGGTTTTACGTCACATCGACACAGTATAGGTCATATCGCGACGTTCCAGCTTTACTGGTGGAGGAAGACCTCAGGTTCCCTTCCGTGCAATATTTCAGGCACGAACGGGTACCTGAGTAGAACCACCGACGTTCCGTAAGCTAGCTGGATAGCTTCCTCACATGAAAGAATCCAAAGTCCCTGTCGGGATTCGAACCCACATAGGTAAGGGGCTAGTGGTTTGAAGTCAACGACCTTAACCACTCGGTCACGGACGCCCCAACTAGCATAATGTAATGTTCCCTTAGACCATATAATTTTTCGTTTGAAGATATCATTTAACTAGATATACAACTGTGACAATCTATAACCCTTACCACGCTAAATATCTTAAATGGACTTGTCATCTTTCAATCTGGACAAAAGCAGGGGTAAATTAAAAATATTTACTGACTAATTAGCGAACATTCCACACCATGCGCAGAAAGCTTAGATCTTTTCGGGTGATCTTGGTCTTCTCTGGACTCAGAAGTAGATAATGTTACAGCAAGCAGGCTAAGTGTTAGATTATGCATTTTTGGTTGCCATGCATAAACTTGAAAATAAATGTCAACGAGGAAACACAGTCGTTAATTACATCCAGTCAAACTCAAGACCAACGAACAGAAACTGTTGCACAAGTGTAGAGAAAGGAGGAGGATAAAAGTAGTGATGAAAAAGAGAGTTATACAAGACCATGCACGCTCGTTCAGTGATCATTGGTAGGGGGTTCAAAGGAGAAAAGGAGTAGGGTTAATAGATCTTTTATCATCTTTTATGATATTTTACCAAAAGTATAAAGATGTTTCTAGTTCAACACATTAGGGACTTAGTATTGAATATTTTGCAGAATTACAGACAGACAATGTTAACACTAAAAACATTGAATGTATTCTATAATTTATCTTACAATAGGTAATATGAATAGATGATAGCCTTTATCACTAGATAAACCCGATAAGAACAATTCTAAGCGGATTCTTCTAATACTTTTCAGACGTTTACAACTGCAGATCAATCAAACATATTTTCTTAAGGTTAATGAAACATTAAATTGATTAAAACTCTTAATAATCAGTCTTAATTGCAAGCTGAAATAAAACGTATAGAGGGAAATTTTATAAAAGCAAATGCATGAAATCTGTCAACCCAAGTTGACGTTCTTTGCCATATATTTTGACTATCAAGGTATAGTCAAAAATATATTAAACTACTGTCGACTCCGCTTATACCGAACTCTTAGGGACATTCAGATATTGTTCGTTATATCCGAAGTTCGCTAAAGGCGAAGTAGCAATAACTTTCGTTTACATGTTTGGTTGGGCAAATTTGTCGTGAAAAACCATATCTGTCACCGGTCACCTGTTGAACTTTTTTAAGCTGAACCATGCGTGTTGATATAAGTATAAATTTTACTACACCATTTTGGCATGTAAGAAAAAACTATGACTAAAGTCTATATAATAAATCACACACCGTATAATTATATATTCTAATAATCATTTATTTGCATAATAATTCAACCATAGTACATGTATAGTTTGATACCGTATAAATTTGACGTTTAATTAAAGCAACAGGCCCGATAATTAAACAACTCGTAAAATACGTAATTTGATTATTGTATATGTTGTTTTATATTGTTATCTAAAGTTTCAAATAAAAATGTCAACTCATCTGAAGGATGGTTTTCCTAATGGTCTTAACATTGATAAATTGGAGTTACAAAGTCCGACTATGGTATTGATTCTCCTAATTAGCCTTTTATTTGTTTCGTTAATATGAATGACAAGGTTCTAATTTAATTTATTTTTTCTCTATTTAGAAGTTTATAAAGACCTATTCAGTTGCTTTTACTTAATCAGTCCTTATAAATTTCTCTACATAGTTATTGTTGTTGGCGGGTCAATGATATTTAAATGATGAAATATTATACAATCCAAAGTTACACAAAAACATATAGACTATAGGAAGATCTTTTAAAGCAAAACAATATTAGACTCAAAACACATGATAAAATGTACACTGATATAATTACATTAACTAGTAAATGTAATTAAATATTTCATTATGTTATTGCTGTTTTCATTGTTATTTATTTTCAAAAAAATACATGATATTTTCCCTATAAGAATTGTCTCAGCAGCAAATATCCTAATACACGTACATTTGATGAAATACAACGTCAACGCCTAATTGTCACTGAACGTTAAACCAGAGCCTTCAATTTCATCTAGAAGTTTATCGATTTTCTTCGCAATCTCTGGCGTTAACAAGTGTTCCATGCTCAGCTCATGACGCTCGGCACCCAGTTGATTTTTCGATATATAACGCTAGAAATTGAAATAAATCTCAACATATTATGGTTTGACAACTTGATAGCAATATAAACTTAAACTCCAAAAACTATAGAATTAATTACTCCAGATAATATGGGCAACTTGAATATGGTTAGATGGACACCAAACTTGATAGAAATGAGTGGAGCTTAATAATAATATGATATTTGGAATATATAGTATTGAATAGACGCTGAAAATAATGCGGTATTAAAGAAAATGCGGCATTGTATATAATCATCATTAACCATAAACCAAGACTTATGAGGTGTCAATTTTGTGATTGTTAAAGCTACCACTAAAGACCTTATAAATGTGATATGATTATTAAAACAAATCTCAGCCCCCATTATCAATATTACATTGACTGAAATTACGCATTTATGTTATGCATAAAGAAAAACTTCTTATAAAACATCCCACCCCCCCCCCCTTTCATGTTATCTTATTACCTGATTTATTTAAATACCACCATCTGGAAATATATACATATACTTTCCCTGAAATCGCAGTAGCGTAATTGCACATTGCGTCCATTTTTCATGTATATATTCAACAAGAACAATAAATCACATATGTTAGCCACAATCTTATCTGCAAAATTATCTACCCGAGAATTCAAGTTAGTATTACAAGCTCCCTTCTATTCCTACAATGTAACGAAATAAAACTTAATAAATGCTAATCATTGTAGTTACAATATGCAATATTTTCTAAATAATATCATGTAAAAACAACTTTATGACATCATACACTATGTCAACACAAATTAACATACTTTATATGATTTTTAAATTTAAAAACTAGAATGTCAGAACTGATTATTTAGAAACGAATGATATAAATACTCTCGGGCGGCTGTTTGAAGAGGCCATAACGGTGATAGTGACTTTATCAGTTGATTGTTGTGTTCATTGAACGCCGCCTTTCCTTGTTGATCTTGTTTATTACATTTTGCAAGGCCCGTTTGCAATGTGTAATAATCTGCTGCTATATAGTACGCAACATAACGATCTGATTGTGCGCGCTGATTTGGCATCTTAGGTCCGACTGTTTAAGGTTTCAATTTTAAAATGCTTCAATCATATTCAAAGATTGTATTAGGTTAAACTGTTACCCGTAGCCACGTAGCCGTTAACATGCAAATTTAAACGGTAAAATACTGTTACGTCTGATTAACAGTCTATCCCTTGGAATAATATTTTTAAGGTAACACCCATCTCTCTGGACAGTATTTATCATTCATATTGTTTCCCTAAAGAAATTCTATAATGATTTGTCATTTTCAGTTACTAGTATTGTAAATTACACTTAGAAATACATACCTAACTTCAATCGTCTTATACCTATCCGCATATGATGTAACATTTCTTATAATTGTATCACTCTAATGAGTAGCATGGTAATACTACAGGCCAATAACAATAACTCGTACCTTAATCTAATAAACATGAAATATCGATATACCACTACAATATCGTACAGCTTCATTCCGATCTAACCTGAAAATATCTTATTACATCTTGAACGCAAATATACTTATACACTTCACCATACCCGTCCACCACCTAACATAAGCGCTACTTGCAAAAAACAGACACTTTTATCATTTCGTACCTGATCCAACTCTAAAACATGTCGATGGCCAATGGGCCAATTTGTGACCTGAAGTGTAAGAACAATGAAGCTATTATTGCACCAACCTAATTGTACTTTTGCATCACAAACCAATATAATTAAAATCCTAATACAACTTAAGTTCTTCCCTTCAAACTGCAATTGCTAGTTTTGCCGTTATCCTATGCGTCCTTTTAAAAATAGGATAGATACAATAACATCAACTTGATACGTTACTACGTGATGTTCTCAGACCCTTCAATCATATGCTTTACAATTGCAATGTGAACAAACACAGAACACGCCTAGCTTAAGTTGCGAGTGGTAACGAGACCATGATTGTTAGAGATTAAGGCTAAGATAAAGCAACATCATACGGAAATGTTATGCCAACTCGCATGTATGTAGACTATCGGGGTTCCTCGTGCTGTTGGATAATAACCATTTTAGTAACTATAGCTTCACAACACTAAGGTAATTAAAAGTACTAGATATCTTAACTAAATTAGATGACTTTCAGCAGCTACCATTAATGATTCATTCTATTTACTAAATGTATCAAATAATGATCAAAAGCATCTGATATCAAATGTAAAATCAAACTGCAGTTATATCAACTTATATATGTTTCTCATTCCTTTAGATGATAACGGCAATAAAATACACAAACAAATACACTTTACATATAAGTATGAGCGAGGGGGACATTCTAGTGATTAAACCCCTCATGTTATAAACATTATTTGTAATTTTACCTGTCCATTTACAACTATGTCACCAATCTTACAGACTTTTCTCAGCAAGAAGACTCCGCGACCACCAGTTGTCATATTAATAGCATCTACCCACATTTCACCAGTGTCTAAAGTAGGACAGTTCACAAATATCTTTAATGGATTTCTTAGCGATGTAAATAAATCTACAAACACAAATTTCTGAATATAACTTATGTGAATGAAATATTCTTTTAATAACAGGGATGAACATGCGTCTATTCATTCAAAATAGATCACATCTTAGTTATATCATCTAGTAACATAAAAGCACAAATAAGTGATAGTTCAATATGAGTGCGTTCAAATGATAGAATAGCACTTTAGTCGGTATTTTTTTAAAAATGCGTCTCATCTCTATACAATTTTTTGACATCAGCAGATCCATTTATTTGTAATATTTGCAACAAAATGCACAGAATCATAAAAGAATGTACAAAATAGCGGTGGACATCTTCGATGATAAATTTCGATTTTATCTTTCAAATAATACAATCAATTCGATAAATACAACGTTGCAAATACCAATGTACTCTCAATATAAATCCCACGTATATTACCAGTCGTATTCTATAACGATAATAACTGGAAAATATTAAATAATGCACCATTAAGACCGTATATCCCTAAATAACGCGAGCCAGAGTGTCGTTACTTTGTCATAACGATCTACATTGCCGATGGTATATGTTCCGTCAGCATGATTTATGATATAACGATAAATACTTGTAACCGTTTGCAAGAAAACTTACCCGACCCTTTCCTTTCTGTAACTGGAAAGGCAACATGAAGTGGTGCAGATGCGATTTAATCATACGAGGTGATTAATTGGTCATGTATTGGACACTAGAAACAAACGTCATAATCACAAGTGGAAACAAGAACCAAGACAGATCAAGCTCTAAAAGTGATGTCGAGTATTTGCAGATGTATGATAAACAAAACAGTAAAAAAGATTAAACAAGAGAGAAAAATCCTCTCAGATATCTCATTCGAGAAAAGCTCCTATTCACTGCAAAAATTGTAAATGACTGCATGGCTCATATTGGGAGACCTGGTTACCATGGGCGCGCTTTATGAGGTAAAACAGAAGTGCCCGAACAGTTAGTCGTACATGCCCCCTAGCCAATAGGCGTAAGAGAACTTCAACATCTCCATTTAATTAAACTGGTGAAAACTTCTGAATTTTGAAAACATCCGCGATGTGCCTTCAGTATGGCGTTATCAATGCAATGTGACATGATTGACATTAATGAAAAGCGCACAATGGTCCGCATTAAAGTTATAAAACACTATGTCTAGTCTCGCTGCTGACTAATAAGTGTATAACAAACTAATCGTCGAATATAGTTAACACACTCACGACTGTGTTACAAAGACGCGTATATCATTGATGGTGTGTGGTTTCCATTATTCATCTCGATATTAGATGTGTATGTTAAATATGACATAAGTAAAAACAAAAATACCGCAAAATGTCTTATACGGGTGATTAAACAGTATTCAGGTGAGGAATACTTGAGCCACCCGACTAAAAGTACACAAAAGTGGAAAGAGCTAAAGGTACCAAAAACATGCATTCAACACAATGAGGTTGTGCTTGACGATCTTCAAGTAAAAATGAATTTCAAAAGTTGCCGAGAGACAAGCTATCAGTCTCTTTTCGACTTTTTCTATATAGAAAGCTATATGACTGTGTAAGTATTTCTATGCAATATATAGTGTAAACTTAAACTTAAAAGTAGCATATTCATATTTGAGTTATTCCGAAATTCTGTTAGATAGGTCATAACTTTGTTATATTCGTCAACAACTTACTGTAATTTATAACACTTTACATTTCATTTGAACTGTATGACTATATGTTATATGTATACAATTTTATTTTGAATAAAATATATGTTAAATGTTAAATAAATCAGCCGCCATTAAATACCTTGTTACTTGTTACTTTTTATACAATATAGTGTTACTTGTTACTTTTTATACAATATAGTAAGTAATACGTGAATGTGAATATATGTTTCATACAATTATATTCAATTTATGAGCAAGCACATTCCGTACCTTAAATATGGTCATATTATTATCATCTATACATGTGGCCTGGTTTGTATGATACGTTATTTATATTTATATATTATTAATAAGCATATTTGTGCTTCATATAAACACATACGATTATGTCTGCCTCTGGAATCTCATTATGCAAGTATAACTATGTTCATGGCTTTTCCCTATTTGCTACTCAGGACGGAGTGCCGCTAGTAATATCCTATGTAATAATAGCTATTGATATGAAAGTCCTTATATAAAAGTACATATACGTAAACAGTTTTTTTATATATTAAATACTTTAATTCGGGAGTGTCATAATTTGAAATTTAATAATGCATGCCATTATTACACTTCATCAAACAAAACATATTCAACGATTGATTAAAAATGTCGATCAGATACCTCTATAAAACGGAAATCTGTCATCCTTCAACTCAAGCAAAGGAAAACGGTCGTCAAGATTAACAGTGTTTGCAGTTTTAAAGTCCAAGGTTTGTACTAGATACGTCATCTCCTGCGTCATCGTTGTCCCTTTGTGATATATGGAGGGAATATAATTTTTTAACGAATTTGTATGATCATATATGCAGCATTCCTTAAAAAAACAAAATGTCACAGAAGTATTTACTATTTAGCATATAACGGAATAATTCATTGACAAACATTTCTTACCATATATCTACTTTTAACTATTAAAACAAATTACGTTTCAAATTTAACATAATCAGACGTTATCTATAGAAGCATTTTTATCTGTTTCTGTCTGTCTGTCTGTCTGTCTGTCTGTTTTTCTTTTTTCTTTTCTGCGAATATACTGATATAAAATCCTACCGGATCTGGGAAAACTGCACACCCAAATATCGTCAATCCTCGTCTCCATCCGTTCTATATCATCAATCTCACATTTTAACATTGCAACCCCTTTATGTACCATTCGTTCGAACTGAAAATCTGGCATTTCGTCGGCGTCGTCTTTACTTTCACCATATGCATCTTTTGTATTAGCCATGTCCATTTTTTCATTTAGATATCCTTTATATATAATTCAAACCTTTTGATTTCTTTTTAAACAATGAAATACACAATATGTTACTTACCTTATGATAAATGTAAACTGAACAATGGTCAGTGTTATTTTTTATACTAATATTTTTATTAATATGGTATCACCTTAAAATAAGTAAAGTTATATAGCTTTTTTCAATATTTCAGCTTCCCTAAAACAAAGTATTAGATTTGACATTTGTATCCATCAAGCGTTGCGCGTCATCGTTAGCCATTGACTTAAATTGTTTAGTACTTACTAAGATCATTAAATAGTTTATTCATTACAAAACTGCACTGGCCATGTCAACTGAAAATGCTTCAATAATTGCTTATAGAACACAAGGTATGTAGGTTTGGCATATTAGGTACGGGACCAACACCCACCGGAGTGATTAAGTCTATAAGTTTAACATACACTTTTATGGTAAACGTCTTAAAAATCACGTGATATTTGACCTGTTGCATGTGCATCATCTAGGTGTTTTCCGAAAATGTAAATTATTTTATTTTCATTGTTGTCAACAATTTTTACCCTCAAATATATCTTCACTGTATCATATGTATATTGTTATGATTTTCCTCTAAGCAACAGCAACCTATCACTATTCAATTCTAAAGAAGAAATGGAAATAATTTGGGTTCATTGTGCGTAGGTAATAACCCAGTATTGCAAGACAGACTCTGGAGTGGGTTCCTCCAGGTTCAAGTTGAAAGGAAATGCCAACAAACTCGACATTGAGATGAAATAAACTAAACGTTAAATTGATTTTGTAACATATATTCTGCAAATTTCATTTGTAGTATTTTTTTTCGCCGTATATATTAATACCTAAGAGTTTAATCAAACGTTCATCAATATCACATGTATGTTATAAAATTTTGATATTAGATAAAATAAAATATTAGCACCTCACTTTTTTGATAGTTGATGTCATGTTGACGGTATTTTGACCGGGGACCTTAATATTCAAAAATAGCAGTGGTGTTATTGCTGCAGATGTGTTTGTTGTTTTTCTTTCTTTTTGTTTTTGTTGGTATCATAAGGTTACCTTTGTAAGACCATTTTGCCCATGTTTTGTTTTTGTCAAATTATTTTACTTACTTTTGCAATCAAACATGATCTATTGTTTATGTTTAAATTAAAATGGTGCTGCATAGTAACTTTAAAACTGCAAAAAAAAAAAAAAAAAAAAAAAAAAAAAATTGACAGATCTTTGAATTCAAATCATTTATGTCAAAACAATTTTATTGTAAAAATGTTTCAGTTTTTTATGAATGCTCTTCGGTTACAGATATAAGAAAATTTAAAGTATAAACTCACATGAGTTTCTTAATTTCCAAATTCGTGAACTTTGCCCTAAGTGCCGATTACTTGAAACAATAAATCAGTTATCAACCCTAGATAATACTGTCACTCCACCCTGATGTTTATCAACCGAGTTCTAAATGTGATAGGACATATATAAATTAACGAATGTATTGGTCATTAATGCACACAATGACTCTCTTACAGCGCAGTTATATGCCTATAAATTGAAATGAGATCAACACCTGAATAAAAAGTATTTGTTACATATCGTTGTATATCAGTTTGGCTTTTGATATGTTGATATTTCATTACTATATCACGTATGTAGCTAACGGTCAAATTATGACTAAATTGAAATTTGTTAAGATTGGACGGGGAAGATTATCAAACATTTATGCAATCAGCGTAACTTATATGATTCATATCTAACCTAAAGGTACAAACATGTGTATGATTTAATTACAACAACACATTGTATTATTGTTTATAATAATTTTATGTCTGCCATGTGCGATTTCAATTTTCAAAATAATACTCAATGCCGGTAACACTTTATCATTTTTCCAATGTCATGTTTTACCTGTGGTCCTGACCATTTTATTGTGATAACATCTTTAATAAAATAATTTAAGATGCCAAAATATGCGTTGAATTAAAGCAAAACGAAAACATGAAAAAATATTTTAATATGCTTTACCCATAACAATAGTGTAATTATTTATTTCGAGAGTTGTGGAAAGCAAGGGAGTTTGTATTCATGTCTACTCCCTGGTCACTCCCGAAAGGAAAGTAGAAATGTTTTTAATTCTATATGTGTTTTTTTTTCAATGTAAACCATATAAGCTTGTAACGCTGAACACAAAGGGTGCGTGCAAGGCAGGTAAAGAAGTGATATATTCATTATGCGGTGATCTAATTGTACTTTTGCCAATATTTGTCGTAGATCCAGATGTATGTGGCTATTTGTAACACACAATTTTAAGAATATAAAAGGCGTTAGTATAATGTCACAACGGTCACTAGTAATATTATCCCCATTGAAAACAAAATATTTACCGATCACAGTCGTAATTTGTACAACAAAAAATAATCGACATTATAAACTCTGCATGTATTGATAAGTAACAATTTCTAATACCCATTTCTACTTTAGGAAATATTACATTTTATTATCATATATACGTTCGATCTTCAAACAATTACATTCACAATTATTACAAGTATTCTTCATTGCACATGAAGAACATCCCCTTACCAGAGTAACGAAATATCAAAGACGTGTTTAATAAACGCGTTAATTTCAGTTATTGTTAATGATAATTATATTTAATATGGAAGGAAAAGGAACAAGACTGCATATCTTGTAAAACTTATTACAGTCCCCGTCCAGAAAAAAGAAACCTACACTTCTTTCTTATGTGAGATCTTTTTCATTATTTTCTAATTTATATGATCTATTTCCTCTTTGTTTAAGTTAAAGTTCAATATGAAATAGAAATTACAGAAATGAAAAATCATTTAAGCCATGATCGCCATGATGCTTCGGTTATTTATTTACTGTCTTAAAAAAATCTTATTACATTTATCATGCAACTGCTATGGTAATTGTCCGATTACACTTGCCTGTTAGTAACCTGATATCAAAAATAAGCCCCGCCCATTTCAACCTATTTTTCTCAATGGCTTATATTCTCATTTTTATCAGCCTTTAGATTACTACAACTATATATCATACCATAACAAGTCTCGAATCAGTATGTCATTTTTATCTAGATGGTTTTCTCTTGGAATACATGTACAGACTCAATCAAACCGAGTCTGCAATTCTCTTGTAATTTTGTTATGATTAATGCTTCCGAGGGATCACTTTGTTTCCAAATTTTTGTAATTTAAAAGTTGTGTTTATTTTGTTTCGCCAGATTATTATTTATCAAATAAGTGTGCAAATAGTTTCGTTCAGATGATTAGACGCATGTCTCGGTTACCTGTATTTGACTGATGATTTGTCTTTTCTTTTACTGAAACTGAAATTTCTGTGAAATTTTGAATTTGACATTTAACGGTAAAAGTGCAGTAAAATTAATGTGATTCATATTATAATATATACAGCATAGTTAAATAAAATAAGATTCTTACCTTTAAACAGCGGTCCAAAAATATCCCTATGAATCACATAAATTTTACTGCCCATTGTCAGCCGAGCGTGATAAAATTGATATCAAATACAGTAGCATGTTTTTCTATTTATCACGTAACAGTAATACATGAATACTTTTAAAATAACAAAATAATCTACTTTGAAATAACGAATTTTGTAGAAAGGGGCATTTTGTTCAAAGAAATAGTTCCTGAAAAACAATTCCCTCCGCCCCTGAAACTTAGAACTTGCAAATGGCAGCCATTTTTTCATTCGACTCAAGATTATTTCCTTTGATATCAAAAATTTAAATGTTACCTTGAAATATATTTCAGGTACCTAGCTATAATTGACGAATTATCTGCACTCGAATGTAAGACTACATTTCAAACATTTTAGTACAAATTACAGCCTTGTAACAAAATATGAAATATATGTATTTTATTATAAAAACATGATTTATTATGCACTAAAATTATGTATGTAAGTAACTGTCTCTTAGTTTCGACGTCGATGTTATGTGTCAATATCTTTTTCTCTATTGTAGTTTTTGATAATTTACATCATTTCAATGATTATTTTTCTCGTCAAAGCAAACAAAAGCTCGGAAAACCTTTGATTATTATATATACAGTACACTAGAAAATTATTCAACATCAATGTTTAGTTGTCACTAAACGTTAAACCGGAGCCTTTCATCTAGAAGTTTTTCAATTTTCCTTGCAATCTCTGGCGTTAACAATTGTTTCCATGCGCCTGCTTTGCCTGTAAAAATTGATATAATATTGACATTCCAATTAATGTGAGTCAACAAATGACTATATTGGACATATTTTATACAAAAATTTGGATGTGCTTACTGAATCCAGACAACAAATCGTGATTTTAACGTTTGAATTTCTAAAATCCCAGTAACCATGTATCAAATGAATATCGAAACGTTTATCCAAAAGATCTCTGGATTTTAAGCTATTAAATGCAGAACCTCTTTTTTCTGGAGAGTATTTATTTCCGGTAAAGATACTTATTTTATGTCGGGCATAAGGGCATTTTTTTCTCCTTCTTTGTACTTTTTTGTGTTCAGTCAAATCTTTTATTTTGTGTGTTTATGTCAAGAATATGATAAAGTTTAATAATGAAAAGGTCTTGATGACTTTTGAAACTTTTTTATTTGTACATATCATACCTTAAGTGCATAACAGAGGTTCGTTGTTTTGAAAAAGGTAGACACAGATAGCACACGTGAATATGCAACGAAAACTGTTTCAATTGACACTCTACCTTGATTTATAAAACCACCGTCAGGATTATCATATACTTTCTTATAATCTCTCCAATAAGACATATTGCACATTGGGTTGTTCTTCATATTTTCTACAGAACAATAATCACATATGTTTGCCACATCTTCATCTGTCAACTTTCTACCAAGAAAATCAGCAATCTGTCGCACAGCCTTGGGCTTATCCTGCAATGCCGAAAGCCCCGACGTATAATCGATGATAATAATTTTAAGAAAAGTTTATGAATTTGTTGCAACTAGATTTATATAATTATAAGGCAAAAATACTGAATCTGTTTTTGCTTAACGTATCCTAAATAAATTATGTCTCATCATTTAATAAAGATTTTACAGTTACTTTCTATACAAGTTGAAGATATTGTAAGCAAATGTGGCTCCGGAGATGGGCCAGTTTTACATTAATGATTTAAATATTTTATTTGTATTTGTACCTAAGGCAATCAGTGGAACCTAATGCAAAATCAGAATTTGGCTGCTTTGGGACTTGCATTATCAGAGAACATTTTAAATTAAACGCGTTTTTCTTTACAAGTTGAGGGCTGCGGGCGATTCCAAACTAACCCTAAGAGCATGATCGATGTTTATACCTCTCGTAGATCACAGATCACAAGGTGACACACTTTATTAAATGTTTTACCTCTAGACTTTTAATAAACTTAGAAGTGGAATTTAAAAGACTGATTTTAAATTGAAAGTTTCTTTGCTGTCGCTTTGACTTACTTGCTTCAGACTTAATCTTGTTGTGTTATTTGACTGTTGAAAAAAAACAACAACAAAAAAAACAAACAACAAAAGAAAAAACACTTAATTTATTTTGTAATATATTCGGCAACATCCGCCGCGTAATTAAGAAGAAAAAGATGTTTGAATAAAAGATAACTAAAAACGGTGCACAACAGCTTCTATTCGCCTACCAAAGCTCACCTCTATGACATTTGTGCATATGTATGTAGACTCAAGTAGACTCTAGAAAAAAGTCAGTCACGGTTCATGTGCCTCTTCTAGAAAGGTATAGCTCTTCTTAGTTAATATCAGCACATGCGCTAAAAAGGTCATTATCGATGTACAATGAAATTTACCAGTTCCGTTGACAAATGCGTCTACAAAGTTCTCAAATGTGTTTTCGTCATCTTTAAGACCACCCAACCATTTCATCAGTCTAAAGAATGAAGTTGCAATATCTTTTGGATTTCTAGCAATGTAAATAATCTGTAAAATATAACAATTCACATAATATGTTCAAACAGTGATTAAAGACCATGTTTTCATTCAATTATATGACAGTTCAATGTTTCACAAGCCTTAAGAAACCGTTAAGCAACAGAACAGCCAACAATGTGCTTGTTCCGTATATGTTTAAAATACGAAATCTTATCCGTTAGAAACAAGAATACTACGTTTGTATACATTCTGGGTCATGTAGTTCATGCGATGTTAATTCGCAGCGCTACGTATAAAAGTATCAAAATAATAACACCACAGAAAAGTCCCTCGTGCACATCCTACAAACATAAACATGACTAATTGTCACCAATGCATTTGGTGTACACTTCACAGAGATGTATGTGCTACATCAAAAGAGTTGTGTTAAAATGATCGTTGGATTGGAACAGTGTTTGATTTTTATTGAAAAGGCCTCTACTGAATATGTTCAAATATCAAATCTTTTCTGCAGTGGTCTGCAAGGTTAGCTATATAGTTTTTTTTCAGCAGATGCTAGTGCGGTTTTGCATTTTCTCATACAACCTTGAATATTTGTAATACATCTTATGTGATCTTTAGAAATTACATACCCGGCCTTTTCCTTCCTGTAACTGAATAGGCAACAAGAAGTGGTGAAGATGTGATTTTATCATACGAGGTGACTTCATTTGGTCAGCGTATTTTACACCTGGAAACATATATACTCGTTTTAATATTTAAGTGAAAGTATTTATTAGATGATGCTACCTAGTAACAAATGATTTGATACCTTCCATGCTGGACAAAAAAGATGAATGTGATATAATACGTTTTACGGTGTTAGCGTTGAAGGGTTAAAATTAACATATCATTACCTAGGTGCTTATATATCGTTAGTATCACATGTATGTAACAAATTATGCAGAAATTAGTTTCAAATCTATAAGTGTAATTTTATGTATACAGTCGTTATGTATGTCCGGTTATTAATATATATTATGCATAAAAATCTTCTTCACAAGGACAAATACGTGTATGTTTTGAAATTTCGGGTATAGCTGTATATGGATGTTGTAATATTTTTCTGGTCCTTCGGGATCATTGATGCCATCACTATTAAGTGTTGAGAATTGAGTACCGCTCAAGCCGGTGCTAGGGGGCGTGAGATATGTTGCACTTATTCATTATCTCTCATGTACAGATTCAATCAAACCGAGTCTACAATTCTTATGTAATTTTGTTGTGATTAATGCTTCCGAGGGATCACTTTGTTTCCGGATTTTTATCACATGTGATGTTTTTATAACTATGACACGCGTTTGAATGCGTTTTAGTACTATATACCTATCATTATACCATGATAGCATTTCTCTTACAAAAGTTGAATAACTATATCATGAATGTTTTGATCTCAGTTTCGTCAATACTTTAATAAAAGGTCAATATATCTGAAATGCACTGATGAAAATGAAACCTTTCACTAATTTAAATTACTTTTTCGGTTGAATACCTCTATAAAACGGGAACCTGTCGTCTTTTAACTCTAGCAATGGGAAACGGTCGTCAAGATAAACCGTGCGAGCCGTTTTAAAGTCCAATGTTTGTACTAGATACGTCATCTCCTGCGTCATCGTTGTCCCTTTGTGATATGAAAAAAACAGAAACAAGGAAATAAAGTACAATGTAAACCAAACCAAATAATGTAGCTTCACATATGCATTGCTTAGTACCATTGAAAATATTGAAACAAGAAACATTCCGGTCTCTAAATAAAAATCATTAAATGTAAAGTGGACACAATGGCAAATAATGAGCATACATAAACTCATTGCAGAAGCATTAATTCGACGAACCATTTTGTTATTAATATTACCTGATCTGGAGAAACTGCACACCCAAATATCGTCTTCCCTCGTCTCCATTCGTTTAATATCGTCAATCTCACATTTAAACATTGCTTCTCCTTTGTGTACCATACGTTCAAACTGAAAATCTGGTTTCTCGTCGGCATCGTTTTTATGTTCAACTGATTCATCTATTCTTTCACCACCGGTTTCTTTACATTCAGCCATCCTTTCTTTATAAAATTATAAAAGCTTTGAATGTTCATGATAAACTTAGCGAATTCATGATAAGATCAATGGGATATGAACGAAAGAGAAACCTACATATGCATTTATTGATAAGGCTATCATCTATATTCATATGGTTAAGATTTAACTTTGACACGTTTTCAATAGTAAGATTTCCAAACTATTATACAAGTAATAGAAATGGCATCAAAACACGAGTCTATCTGATTGGTACGAGGGGTTGTAATGAATATTCAATAACCCATGTGGCACACATACATTTCTATAATGTCATTAAAAATGTGTTGGTTACAAAAAAGTGGAACAGTCTTTTTATAATTACGGTAGTTTTGATGATTTAAATCTAATTGACAATTATTAGTCAATCACCATAAAATAATCATTCCCTTGAAATATATATCTATTTCATCTCCTAAACATGACAACGAAGCAATTGACAGATGTTCCTTTTACAACATGTTTAAAACAAATAAACATTTTTATTTAAATGTAGAAACAATTTAACAACAACACTGATAGTAACAAAAGATTCCTGCTTAAAATTTAAGTCATAAATTAGTATACCAAATAGTTTCATCACAGCACAATTATTAAAGTTTAAACTCACGCGAAAGTTTTAATTTCCCAATTCGCAAACTTCCTAAAATCTTATATGGTTTCTATCTTAAGTTAAATTATCAACCGTGAAATTCTTATTTTCTAATAAACTCATCTCAAATCAACATTTATCTCCTAATCTTTAAACTATGTACAATTTTTATAAGTCAATTATGAGCAAGTTAATGTCATGTAAATGTTCATGCACAAAGCGGTTTCTTCCCTTCTGGTGCATGAATATTTAGAACATTGGAAGGGAGATAACAACGAGAACATTATTTGAATTACTATATTTTACTTAAACACTTGTTAATCTATATGAAGTTTGGAAGGGAAAGATTGACTTTAATCACCTAGTTAATATAACTTACATGTAATAAAATGTCAACAAACATTATGTATACAATGTTATGAGATCCTGTAACGCTAAAATATGAAAATCAGTTAGGAATTGTGCAACAGAAATGCCGAATATGACTTTTGCAAATCTATTGACGAAAAGAATAACACGGTAAACTAAAGTATTTTATCATCTGATTTACTTTACGTAGTTTCATCAATCATGTGTTACTAAACCCCAGTGGAGCCTATTGGTAAGGTGCCTGCCTCTCATCCAAAGGGGTCACTGGTTTCGATCCATAATGGGGCCAAGACCAGGTTACTCGTGTGATACCAGGACTGGTTGGATCCACGAAGCGGATTCGAAAATAATTGATATAAGTTGCAAGAACTTTTTTATCTTAATTGAACTATAATACATATGTAATTCCTATGTTTTTTGTTTATGTGATGTTTCCCACATTTCTGTGATATGGGATGGATATAAGCGGTGGAAAACAAAACACGAATTATCGATAATTTTAAAGTTTAATAGTAATATTCCAAAGAATACATGAACACATTGCAGTGAAGAAGAAAACAACAGGAGAAGAGGAATCTATAAACCAGTTTGTTCAGCATTTAGGCTATATAGGAGAAATTACAGATTTAAACAGGCTTGAAGTCTTACATGATACAAGTGCATCATTAAAGGAACACCCCTGAGATTTTTTTCATGCTTGGACTGAAAATATTTTTCCAGATAAATGTACCATTTGATGTAGGTTTAGACCTCTAATCTTTGTGCAAAATTTCAGGTCATTCGCGCACTTCGTTTTTCGTTTTTATTCAATTTGTGAAAAATGACCAAAAATGAAAAGCGTTTGAACACTTGTCACTCAAATCGGACTAAGATACGTTTTTCAATTTATTTCATAGTATATTTCTTAACTATTTTTGCATATATTTCGGTTTAAAGTGTCCGAGCTCATTTATGTAAGAAATTCAAATGTTATGTTTTTAGGCTTTTTAACCTCAGTTAAGTAATGCTTTAAAGTAATTTATGTCGGATTTCGATTTTTGCGTACATTGCGAACATTAATTGCAAATATCATTTTTTAAATAAACAAATAAAGAAAAACAAAACAAACAAACAAAACATTCAGGAAACCTTTTTCCAAGCCTTAAATTTACGTTGGAATATACATGTTTATTATTTTGTTTAAAGAAATATTATACTTAAATAAATATTGATAATTGCTATTTTTCAAATGTAAAATAATAATAATATAATATAAGATGTGTTACTTTCAATACTCTACACATTTTAATTCAGTGTGAATGCATAGTGTTTTTTATAAATAATGTTTTTTTTTGTAATAGAAAGAGCATCGAAACACGAGGCTATCTGATTTGCACCATGGGGCGTACCCTCCGAGTATAAATGAGATTGCTGAGTGTTTTGGTGTTCTTTCTCTTTTGTATCATAGTTAAAATATTGTTCCTTGTTGTCACAATATGAAACCCCAGAAAAAAGTAACCAATGAACGAGCAATGAATATGATATTTCTATAGTTTTTCCTTTCTCTGCCGTCACAATAAGTAAACCCCAGAAAAAAAATGGCCAATCACTTGGCATTCTCTGGAGTGCGGGTATCTAATAACTTCACCCCAGTTCGCACTGTGCATGTACAATGTATATGTATATGAGTTAACCATGACAATTTTTAACAGAAAAGACCCCAAACTATGATACAAAAAGAAAATTCTTCATTCAGGAATCTATATATCTCAATTTACTGTTAAATTGGCCACAACAAATCAACAACGATCAATTCATGTTATATTTTATAATTTACATATAAATTTAACTATATCTTGTGAAGAGATTATTGACAGCTTTCTTCCAAATATTGTGTTGTACTAGTCACTGCTGAAATGATATACAAACAAATTGGAACAGAATTATAAAAAGAATAATCATGATATCAAGTACTGCCTAGGTCACAAATAAAACGATTTTTACAACATCTGCGGCTTAGACGATTCCGCGAACGCCGGGCGATTTTAAATCTGACACCTTGCATGGTCATGAATAAAACTGTTTTGCCAGATTGATGTAACAGAAAGCATTCAAAGAATTGGCGGTCGCTTCCCTATGCCCAGACGGCGTCTGTTTGATTTATAAATGGTTTGGACGGTCGCCGCGTGGACGCCGGGCGGTAAAGTTTTGGCATGATATTCTTTTAAAATTCAGTCAGTGGTCAATATGCCAGCAAAGAAAGAAGTTAATAGAGAAAAGATGAAGGCCAAACAAATAATGCAACAATTGTGGTTTGCCGTTTCCTTAGTTATAATCCGCGAAGACGTTCTTGCTCGACAATAGTTCTTGTTTAATCCAAAGGAATGCACAGATACACTTTAAGGCAACTACATTTACAAAAAAACTCAAGCCGCAATCACACCAAAGTCAAGCCGAGCGATCACCGTACGAGAAAACGATGACTGATCTAGCTGTGCCTATACATGAATCGTCCGGTACCGGGCGATACTCGTTCGGCGAATGGTGTCTATTCGGGCGCCGGGAGGGACCGGGGCGATACCCGCCCGGGTGCCTTTTAAATTGGACAGAGTTTTTGTATCACAAAAAATCTGCCGATCTAAAAAAAACATTGCTCGGGCGCCACCCAATGGCCAGGCGATCTCCGCCAGATGACTTTTTCAACTCACTGACCCCAAAAATTATTGTCCGGACGCCATTAGATTTACGTTGTACTTAAAACTCGACTGCACCCGCACGCTAAATAAAATTTTCAGTGTTATATTTTAGTTTTAGCATCAAAGAAACATTTCTAAAGTGCTTAAAAGCATTAGGTTTTGCACTCATTAACTCAATCAGAACTGATTTTTAGTTTGTTTCTATGATTTCAATGGAATGTACTGTATGTCACATCGACACTCTTATGGTCATATTGCGACTTTCCAGCTTTACTAGTGGAGCAAGTCCTCAGGTGACATTTATCGTATCCAACACCACCTACCAGCCATTATTTGATTTTGTATGAGGGTGGAAAACTTGAAATGAACAACGTTTTAATGGAGACATTATAAGATAGAGGTATTGTTGTAGTTGTTTTGTCTTTTTGTCTTAGAAAAGCTCATTTTGAAATTCAGATTCATGTAGGCTATAGCAAATATAAAGGATCATTCACATATTGTATTTAAAAGCATTTTATTGCTTTTACATACAGGTGAAAGTTTTATTAAAATGACGTACATAATTATGTACATGTATGTCATTACACTCCTTTCTAAGTTTGCGAACTTTATGATACATGATAATATGTCATCCCGTTCACATTTCATTTGAACTTTAATTAATTAATGATGTGAACCGATAAAATAACACCATGCTTTGCTTTAATATTAGTTACCGGTCGTATGTATGTCTTCGTATCTTATCTTCTTGCATTCTAATCATGTACACAGCAGTTTATATGACTAATATTTCTGTCAATATATAAGCTTCCAATCTTTTATACTGAACCAATATGATATATTTAAAAGCATTATAACTTACAAACAATCGTGACTCTATGTGTATTCTCATTCCAAATGAAAGTCTGATTAACTCGTCTCGTAAACGTTTTCTAATGAAGGCTAAATTAATTTGAATAATATACTTAAATTAGTTAATTAGTTTTAATTAGTGGAATAATATGTTTAAGAATGTATGTCTTAATGAATTAAGGTACAGCTGTGTATATCGTAAATACGACAGCTGTTTTCTGCCTTTGTTTGCATTGCCATTAACCTAGAATGTGTCTGCTGACATTGCATTTTAACTTTTAAAATTTTGACATTGCAAGCTTTAATATATGCCGCATCACCTAATATTGGCCCAAATCCATTCACTGCCAAATAACATCTAACTCGGGAGTAAAAAGCTAATTGAAAAATAAATTACGCAACTAAACTTTACTGTGATTTACCTTGTATAAAAAAATCCGTGCATTGACACTTCAAAAGCCCTTGGAACTGCTTCCATTCTGGCTCGGATGGCT